ATGGAGGTGGGAAGGCCCCCCAAAATGACAGGACCGATTTTAAACGGATATAAGGAAACTTGCACTTGTGTATGAATGTTGTCTCCTTAAAGGATTCACCACAGATCCATTCGAGGGCTGGGAGGATAAAAATCATTAACCAGGAAGTGTTCTCAGACTTCCTGCCTTCCTCCGGACCCTGTCATTGACCCGGTTCCTCCTCTTCCCCTCCCACCTACTGTAGAGGGGGGTTCTTCCTTGCTGGGGGAGGTTAAGATGCAGGGAGATGGGGAGGGTTGAGAAGAGGGGAGTGGAGGAGCTGCAGGTCCTGAAGGGCGTGGGTGGGAGATAAAGATGTTCATGGAATTGCTGTGGAATTTGGAACACGAATGTCTTCGCAGGGTTTGGGGTAGGCAAGTCCAGTTCTGAGTCATGTTGGAATTAACCTCAGATGTCTTAACTGCAAGGCAGCCAGGAGACTGGACCACTCGGGTCCAGATTCACAAAGGTTACACACCACTGGCCAAGGAGTCCTGGGGGCTGCTCCCCGGACCTGCCTCACTGAGCACAGCACGTTCTTTGAGTCACCTTTCTGGGGGCATGCCTCCCCCCTTGTAGGGCACTTCGTTTCCCTGGAAATTGCTAAAGAGGGCCGGAGCCAAGTTTGTTTAGATGTTGGGCAATACTGGGTTTTTTTGTGTGTTTTTTTTGCGGGACGCGGGCCTCTCACTGTCGTGGACTCTCCCGTTGCGGAGCACAGGCTCCGGACGCGCAGGCTCAGCGGCCATGGCTCACGGGCCCAGCCGCTCCGCGGCGTGTGGGATCTTCCCGGACCGGGGCACGAACCCGCGTCCCCTGCATCGGCAGGCGGACTCTCAACCACCGCGCCACCAGGGAAGCCCTGGGCAATATTGTTTTTGCCCAAAAGTGAGTAAAGTGATCATGTCATGATGTTGACTTTGCTGTGGGACTTAGTAAAAGCGTTCTGAAGATGGTTTTGAAGAGGGAAAGCTTTCAGTCTGGGTTTGCTTTGACCCCAAAGAGGAGGTCCTGGAGGAGAGCCACCGGCCTCTGCTGCCGTCTCTCAGTCCTCCTGGCGCCTCCGACTCTTTGCTGGGTCATCGCGGGCTACCTCCGCCCCCTGCAACTGATAGCATCACCCCTGCACCAGCTGCATCCTGGTCTCCATCTCTTCTATCTAGGTACAGAAAATCCCTTTTCCAGACTTAGAAAGAAACGTACCAACGTGCAAAAGTGTACTTCCATTGAGGGTAGAGGACTGATTCTCAACTGGGGGGATTTCTGCCTCTCAGGGGATATGTGGCAAAGTCTGGAGATGTTTTTGATTGTCGCAACTGGGGGTGGGGCTGTGCTGATGGAATCTAGTGGGTGGAGTCCAGAGATGCTGCTAAACATCCTACCATGCACAGGACAGCCTCCCACGACAAAGGCTGATCCAGCCCAAATGTCAATGGTGCCGAGGCTGAGGAACCCTGGGGACAAAAGAGTCCAAGATAGCTCTGTACTTTCTTTTGCTGTTATTTTTCAGCTTTTCCCAAATGAATATATATTACTTTGGATTCAGGAAAAAAAAAATATTTGAAGAAAGGAAAACCTCTTTTCCTTTCAAGTGATGCAAGCTTGGCATGGAAAAGGAAAAAGAGAGTAATTATCAAGGCGCCAAGGAGAAACAGAGGAAATACAGAAATAGGTCAATAAACAAATTTGGAGAATTCAATCTGACAAATATTTGTTGAGTTCAGGGTGCTGCAGGATGCTTGGCGGGTCCAAGATGAACAAGACCGTATCCCAAGCCCAGAGGAGGTCACAGGTCTGCTGTGCAGAATCTTCTAGGCCAAGAAAAACTCTCTGCAGAATGAGACAATGTGAGAAACACAAGCAAAAAAGAGCAGAGGGGGAGTTTGTTCCAGCTGAGGGTCTGGGAGGCCTTCAGAAGGAACATGAAGCACCTGAGTTGGGTCTTGGGTAGGATTTTGTTTTTCTTTTCTTTTTTTTTTTTTGGCTGCGTTGGGTCTTTGTTGCCGCACGCCGGCTTTCTCTAGTTGCAGAGAGCAGGGGCTACTCTTTGTTGCGGTGGCTTCTTTTGTTGTGGAGCACACGCCCTAGAGCGGGCGGGCTTCAGTAGTTGTGGTGCACGGGCTTAGTTGCTCCGTGGCACGTGGGATCTTCCCGGACCAGGGATTGAACCTGTGTCCCCTGCACTGGCAGGCGGATTCTTAACCACTGCGCCACCAGGGAGGTCCCTTGGGTAGGATTTTGATGTGAACTGAGGGCAGCCTGTTGAATTCAAATCCAGCCCCCATGGCTTAAAAAGTGGTCAGCCTTAGGCTAATCGACTTCTCATCATGGTTTCTTCATTAGTGAATTCAGTATAATAATGAATGAATATTGTCTCCTTAAAAGATTTACCGCAGGTCCATACGAGACCTGTGATGGGGTAAAAACTATTAATGAGGAAGTGTTCTCGGAAGGAACCCTAACCTTTAGGGTTGTAAGGATGAGTGAAAATGATGCAGGGATGCCCAGCACCGGGCCTGGGGCAGTTGTCAGTCCTGTTAGCCTGGTTATTAGCAGAAGAGAAAAGGACTAAGGGTGCTCCTGGCCAGGGAGAAGGAGGTGGGCAGGTGCCAGGAGTTTGGGGGTGTGGTTGGAACCTGGTGCTCAAACTGTGGTGCCTTGGCAGCACCTGGGGGCTTTTGGAAAATGTCTGTCCCGGATCTGCCAAATCAGAATCTGCATTTTCACAAGATTTCCCAGGTGACGTGTAGGCACGTTGCAGTACGTGAAGCAGGGAACTTAAACACGGGATGAGGGGTGCTGGGCAATGCAGGCGAAGGGTGGGAGCAGACTGGGGAGGGTGGTGCCCACCCTGGCAAGGAGCCTGGAGAAATGATAGATGGGTAGAGGGGGCGAGGAGAGAGAGGGAGAGATTCGTTTAATATGTATTTTATAAATTACATTTACATGTACAAATTTTCTTTGCCAAGTGGACGGGAGGTAGTGGACATTTTGAGGAGGGGGGCTGTCCAAGCAGTCTCTCTGTCATTTGGAAGGTCTCTGGGTCCTGACCCTTGGCAGGTAGAGAACGTGGAGGTGGGGGGCCCAGCTGATCCACTGCAGGGGGTGGGGGTTGTGCAGAGAATTGAAGAGCGGGCAGAAGTGTGGGTTCAGGGGATGGGGGGATTCCTGGGGAGGCCAGGCTTCCTTGCTCAAAGTCTCATAGCACATCTCTGAGGATCCATCGGGAGAGCCTCGGTTCTGGTTCCCGGTCTTCGGCCTCCCCCAGGTTCTCCTGACTTGGCACGGGGCTCCAGCAGCGAGGGCGGCCAGAGCATTCTGCCTTCCAAGCTAAAGCAGCGAGACTGCTAACACGTAGAATAAAGAACAAAGCCAAAGAGTCGGCCCCGCGGAGAGGGTCGTGCCCTCACCGGCTGCAAGCCCTCTGAGCCATGGAGTTGAAGGAGGTCCATGGTGGCCCGAGATGCGTGAAAGGAGCATTCATCTGGGTAGACGATTACCGACAAAAACAGAAATCCGTCTCGGTATTTTAGTTTTCCTTAGACATGAAAGAGGAGTTAAAGACAAATCAGACAGGACCTTCTGAGGCTGTTCCCTTGCTTTGATGCTTTGCCCCGCCCCACGATGCCTGGTTCCCGGCCCCAGCCCAGCTGCAGGGGCAGGGTGGAGGCGTTCTTACTCCCCCGGCCTCAGTTCTTTCACTGTGCAGACCAGAGGGTCCAATTAGGTGTCCTTGTCAGCCCTTTTGGTGTTAAATTGTATGATTCGGTGAACAAAATGGGCTGGGATTGACCACCGTCGCCCCCTCCGTGATGGGGAGGTTTCCCAGCCGCCAGAAACAGTCGAGGCACGTGTGACTTCTGACTCCACACACCAGAAACGGCTGAGGCACGCGTGTAAATCCCACAGCTGGGGTTAGCCGGGGTGATACCTCTGACGGTGAGAAACCGGTGGGATGTTTTGTCTGTTTTAAGCCCAAGCACTGCCCCCTAGTGGGCTCACTGGGAGCCCCCAGTGGACAGCTCTTTCTGGAAGGACTATCTCAACCCTGGACAAAGAGGGTCCGGTCCAGAGCGTTTTGGAGAGACATGGGGCTGGCTTCGATGACAATAAATGCCCTCTGCGGCTGGGCGCCCCCCGCCCAACATCAGATGCTCAAGGACACGCTCTTGTGCCCCCTGGTGGCCAGAGAGCGACGTGTCAGCGCCTGCCTGCCCACAGGGCCCCACAGTGCAGGCTGGGGCAAAGTCCCTGGACAGTGGACCCCCCCCCCCCC